CAGCACAGCACAGCACAGCACAGCACAGCACAGCACAGCACAGCACATGACAAGATCAACACCTGCCTCTGAATCCCAAGTGCTGAGATTAAAGGCATAGGTCATCACACCCAGCCAATAAAGACGATTTTTATTAAAACATTTTTATTGTATGTGCAAGTGTGTGTATAAATTCATGCCAGTGGGATGCTGTAACCAAAAGATAACTCAAGGCACACAGGTGAAGGTGTGGAGAGACTGGACCCTCAAGCTGCTGGCAGTAGGGGAAGTGAGTCACAGCATTCAAGAACAGCTGGTCACTATCCCTGGGAAAGGCACTGGCTTCAACCCCATCATTGCAAGATAAATAAACAATAAATTACAAGATGTGTTATACAAAATAGAGTTTACTCCACAATTAAAGAAAAATGAAACAATTATTGTTATAATATAGCTGAACAGTAAAAACAAAAACAAACAAAAACCACTGTGTTCAATAAGAGAAATCAATCACAGTGACTGTACATTATCTGAGTCTATGTAGAAGGAAATTTCCAAAACAGACAGATCTACTGAGACAAAAAATACAGTACTAACCCAGGGCTGGCACAGATGGGAGATGTGGGGTGTGAGGACTGAAGGGTAAGAGACATCTTTTAGAAGCTGTGAATATGTTCTACATGGATCATAGCTACATGAACTCATGAATACTCTAAGAGCACTGACTGAACTGCATACTTCATTAGAAGGTAAAATACAGTATATGTATCTCAAAAAGTTGTCAAATAGTCTGTTTAGGGGGATGTTTTCAGTTAAGTAATAATAAATGAACAGCTAACAAAAGTGTAGCTCTAATAGTTTCAGTGTGTCCTGGGAACTGGGTCAGGAGATGAGGCAAATGTTTACCCGTTCTACTGATGACAGCTGCTGCTGTAATTCATCACATTTTTTATTTGCTTCTTCAAAAAGATTCTTATATTTTTCTATTTGGGACTGCTGGGACGTAACTGTTCGCTGTTGTCGCACACAGTCTTCTTCCAAATTTTTCACCTTGGATTTTAAGTCCTGAATTTCATCCTCCTACAATCAATGATATATCAATTATGTGAAAAATGTACAAGACCTGCTATCAAACACACAGCAGAAAACAAGAGCCTCAGATGGTCCTGGAAGAGGTGTTCTTACGAACTGCTGAGAAAAATAAAGCCCATTTCATACTATCAAAAATTGAAGTCAGGGGCTGGTGAAATGGCTCAGTGGTTAAGAGCACTGACTGCTCTTCCAGAGGTCATGAGTTCAAATCCCAGCAACCACATGGTGGCTCACAACCACCCACAATGAGATCTGATGCCCTCTTAAGGGGTATTTGAAGATAGCTACAATGTACGTAATAAATGAATAAAAACCTTTAAAAAAAAAAAATTGAAGTCAGATATTTTATATTGAATAGCAAGTCTAAAATAGTGAACTCTAATTTTAACAATTTTGAGATAGTAAAAAAAAAATTTGTAAGTAATTTGTGGTAATTCAGGATTTCAGAATAAAGTTTGATATATATATATATAATTTTCAAATCTGATATTTAACTATAAATTGTAATTTAAATAAGGCAATCCAAAATAAAATTAAAACTGCCCATCATGTCTTCAGTAGAGCACTCTTGTCAGAGGCCATGCAAGCTTACCTTCTTATTGCATTCACACACAACACTGTCCAGCTCCTCCTGCATCACATGGAGTTTGGCTTTTAGAAATCGGATCTGAGCCTCTGTGAAGTCAAATCATTATATGACTGCTTTTTTTTAAAATCAAATCTAAGATATTAATTACCAAAAGATCATATTTTGTGAGTAAAATATGGCCAAAGTAGACAATCTAACAGGAGACCGTGACAGGAACACTATAAACATTAAACATTCCACATGTAGGAAACTAAAAAGAACAGCAACAGGTGATCACATCAACCGTGGAGATCGAGTGAAGGCAGAGGGACAAGAAAGAAACCCTTCCTCCTAAGAACCACACCTACACACTGGTGTTCTTGCACATTTACAGACCTGACTCATGTCTACTACAGTGATCCAAAATGTACCAACCAGAATTGATAGCAGTCTCAGGTGGGCGATGCCCAAGAATTTGACAGAAACAAACATATCCTCTCTAGCAAAAATGAAATTTCATATTTTACAGTCTGTGCTCCCAAATTGACTCCAGATCATTCAACTCCACCATAACCCAGCCATTCCAAGCAAGCATCTGGAGTACAAGGATACTCTCCCTGGTCAGGTACACTAAAGAAGGAAGGTGCTGAGACAGTGGCCACAGAAAAGAGTACTGTTCATGATAAAGCCTGTTGCTGGTCCTGGGTTTCTACATCTCTGTCCTGTAACAGGGCAGTGGGTGGCTGGTCTGTACTGAGCTCAAGCAATGTTGGTCTGAAGGACCATCTGCCTCAGAGTCACAACCCACTCACTGTCCTACCACACCAGTGCACAGTATTCATGGCAGCTTGCTGTGCACTGGGCTATTGGACCTGCACCATATTTTGTGTTACTACTGCGATCGCCTGAGTGAATCACACCTCCAAATAAATGGTGGCATCACTTAGAGCTAGGTTGTTAGGTTGTTAGATTCCTTTGCTGTGAGCTGCCCTCCTCTCCTTTCAATGTGTGAACAATAAACTGTATATTTGAAAAAGATACACTGACAGCCTCTTGTGGTGTATTAGCTAGGTTCAAGACATCATTTGACAAACTCTAATTTTCAAATGGAGACACTGCTATCACAGAGGGGCTCAGGAGCCAGACTGGAGTCACAGCTAACCATAGTGCACACCCGTATTCATTTCACAGCCAAATGATAGTTCACAGTAACTATGCTTACACATTCCAATTGTTCTGGTTTTTGTTCCAACAGCACAGGTGGCTCCTCATAATTTCAGTAATTTTAGAGGCATTGCTGCTAACAAATACATGCTTTTAGATGATTAAAACTGTATTTTTTCTAGTTACATGCAGAGTCTAAGTTAATAAGAAAGGAAATTATATTCATTTAAAAACTCAATTGATTACTTATCTGTTGCTAATCATTTCAATTATCCTTTTCAAGTATATCGATTTAACATATAATAAACAATATAATAAAAATAAATGAAAGGAATTCAGAGAAATTTCATTCTAATGATAAGCTATGGGACTTTTTAATTTCAGTTGAAACTTCAAAAAACTCAAAACAATACTACTGTCATGACTTTTTACAATACAAACTATCCATGATGAAAGCAGAAGTGGACTCCCCCCACTGCCCTTGGTCACCAGTTACTGACGGCCAGTTTACTTCACACAGACTCTCCATCCTTCCTCCATCCTGTACATCTCTCTAGATTACTATTATCCAGACACAAATCCATAAACCATGATACATTTTTAAAGAAATAGTTCCCTCAAATCTCTTTTCTAACTAAGTAGCTGTAATGTTAAGAGAAAAACTACAAAGAAAAGAAAACCTACCTGTCCCAATGTCCTTACTAACACCACAGAAGCTGTCCTCTGCACTCTCAGGCAAGCCGGCCTCTTCCAGCTGCCCTTCAATCCTGCTAATTGTCTTGGCAAAGGAAAAGTCTGAGAAATCGTCTGGAATGGCCACATCATTGGCAGTTTGTACATCAGGATATTTCAGTTTAACACTAAGAAATAAAACCCACAGGCATACATGAGCAGAAATAGAACAGTGGAAAGGAGGTAGAGCTTTGCTCAAACAACAACCAGGTAGACCTGTTGTAAAATTTAAACATGATGACATTTACGGAGGAGACTTTGGAGGACTTTGTCCTAAAAGTCTTTATGATGGGTATGTGCAGGCCTACTGGTCATATCCAGTCTACAGCTTTAATTTTCCATGATGCTGGAAAAGAACTGTCCAGGTGATGCTGCCCCATCCTGAGAAAGAATTTACGAGGTCCTCAGTGCCATCAAACCTAATAGTTGTTTTCCATGTGGGCAAACACATTCTGACAAGAATCAAAGTTGACAAAAAATATTGGATTTGACTTTTAACATTAAGTGGAGAAAGAATTAGGGAATGAAACTCACTTCCAAAAGCACTGAAGACTAGACCATGTCAAATATATCAGGATGTCACCAAGTCTGTGATTCTGAAAGCCTAGATTGCTTTTAACACAACAGCAAATGCTTCTGAATTCTTGCAAAAACTGCCCTTTACTTAAACAGTGACTATGAAGCCAGGACAAGGGAATTCTGCAGTAATATGTGCAGTTTAGCCAATGATCTCTTCAGGCTGTTTTTTTTTTTATTAATTTTACCTTCTGCCTTTTCAATTCTATACTTTCCCCTTTTAAGTAACTGAAAGACACAAGCGCTGTTAAAGATTTCCGCATTACTATGATGTAATCACCAGGCTGGGAAGGTCACAGACACAGAGGTCCAGCCGCTCACTGGTTGGTACGTCCAAACTCTTTTCCTTTTATTAAAGAACAACAACAATTAAAAAAAATTTAAAAAACAGATCTCAGTCCCAGTTTCAATAGTGTCTCATTAGAATGGCAGTAAAATTTATGAAAAGGTAGTGATTTTGTTTTCAAGAACAGAGAATGGTTATTAACTGCAGTAAACACTTCCAAAATTACTGAGTATGAGAGGGTATATGTGGGAGCTTTATATTGGGAGCTTTATAAAAATCAAGAGGAACAGAAAGTTTATAACTTAGAATGCAGATACTGTGGACTGTAGAAGAGAAAAGCAATCTCCCAGTTGTCAAACTGTGCTGTACCTTGAATTTGTTTTCCTTTCTTTATCTGCAGAGTGGAGTCTGTTTTGAATCTTGTTTATAGGACCAGTGTTTTTGGTCTTTGGCTAGAGAAAAAGAATTGAAACTACAATTAACTAAAATTCTAATCATTTTTCCTTTTAAAAACTGACTTTTTAAATTTTTTTATTTCTTCTGTGCATAATTATTGTATCTGTGTTAGGTTGTTAGATCCCCTGGAACTAGAGTTGAGACAGTAGTAGCTGCCATGTGGGTGCTGGGAATTGAACTAAGGTCCTCTGGAAGAGCTAGCACTCTTAGTCACTGAGCCATCTCTCCAGTGCCCAAGTCTGATAATCTCTAACAACAGAAATTTTGTTTGGATTAGTTTTGGGTTTTGGTCTTTGTGGGTATGAGTACTTTGCCTGCATGTATGTCTGTGTACCACATGTGTGCCTGATATCCTTGAAGGCCAGGAGAGGGCATCAGATCCCTAAGACTGGAGTTACAGACAGCTGTGAGCTGCCACGTGGGTGCTGGGAGCCGCACCTGGGACTTCTAGACAAGCAGTCAGTCCTCTTGATCACTGAGCCTTTTCTCCAGCCCCAACGATTTTGTAACATATGCAATTGTTATTTTGCTACAAATAAGAATTTGTATTTTTATATAATTAAATCAACTGTATTTTCAGGAATTTCAGAACTTTGCAGGAAAGACCTAAACAGTATCCACACTAAGAAAATCAGGAATACAGAAAAGGAGTCCCAAAGATGCATGTATATTCAGCCATCTAGTAAATGTTAAATCAGTATGCTTTGATTCACACAATTCAGCTCTCATTAGCCAATATTGTGGCAAGCAGGCCTTTCCTAACATTGAACTTTACCCTTCCCTTATGGATAGAAACTTGGAGATCCCTGGATGCCTAGTTTCCAGAAGATCAATCTCTATCCCATGCTGTTGGATAAGGACCTGTCTGACTTCACACAATTATGATTCAGGGAGAAATGAAGAGCCTAATTCTAGAAAGTCTCTTCTTTAGAACTTTGTTCACTATTCTCCAAATTATTCAGAGAAATTACAAGACAGAAATTGTCCAAGATCTTTTACAAGCAATGCTGAATGAGTGTTTCACAGCTGAGTATTAAGGTTTGCACTCTATCTATTGAGTCACACTCTTTCCCTACTTGTCTTTAAATACAAACAAACAAACAAAAACAAAAACAAAAAAACCCTAGGAGCCGGCTAGATAGTTGGCAAGATGTTTGCTAAGTGTGGTGGCCTGAGTTCAATTCCCAGATTCTACATGATAGAAGGGGAGGGCCAACCTCTACAAGCTGTCCTCTGACATCCATATGCATGAGATGGCATAAATAAAATTTTGTTTTGTTTTGCTTTTTAGTTAAAAATCCTAAATCCTACAGAATGTAATTGCATTTATGGAAAGTTTGACTTCATACCTTTGTTTCTAACCATGGATGAGCCATCCCTTCATAGGACAACAGATCTCTACAAACCAAAAGTAAGCACTACATTAAAATAGATGACATTAAGCTCAAAGACCACGAAATTCAACAGTAATTATATCCTAAAGAGAAAATATTACTCTAATTCCAGCTAGCCATACATTAACTTGACATGATTTATAAGTTGATTTCTATATAAGTTATATCTAGATGTATACATATATTTTTAATAATTATATATGCACACAGAATTACATTTCACTTTGATTCTAGTTCCTAGACATTAATTTACTTTGAATAATGGCCAATAAAAAGTGGCCATTAGGTTAAGTAATTCACTACAGAGAAAGTATGACAGTATTTTTTTGAGGGGAATGTACAAATTTTAATTAGTGTAAATCATAACAAGGGCTATCCACTTCTTAAATGAGTCAGAGCTGGCAAGTTGGGTCAGCATGTACATGAACCAAGCCTATCTGAGTTTGATCCACATTGTGGAAGGAGAATACTACTTCCAACAGGCACGTGTGCACAGGCATGCATACACACACACACATACACACACACTAATAACAAAACAAATAACCCACTGAAGCACTTTTGCTTGTAAGCATGCTCAACACAACCATTCTAATGTACTTGAACACTTGGTCAGGGACTCTCTTCATAACATTATGAACTCATAAAAGTAGGGTCCAGTCTGCCTTTCTTATTGCTTAATGCTTTGAATTTGGCACAACATTTCACATATAAATTTTTAAATTAACATTAAGTAACAGGCATCAAATAAGTGAATAGATAAATCTAAATCCATTTTATTTTCTGAACTTTTTATCTTGGATTTACAGTTATGTCTATAGTTTAGAACGAGGCATCTCTGTAGGTGGATACATACACTGGCTCACCAATGGCTGGATCTATGCATACCCACTCATGACCACTCATGAGCCTGTGCTGGTTTCACTCTACAACAGACTTGAGTAGCTGTGACAGAGACTATCTAATCTAAGCCCACACATCCTAAAGCATTTGCTATCTGGCCCTTTCCATGGAAAGTTCACCTGCCCCTGACCTACTGTCTAGAGCATCTGTACTAATATCATGGACCACACTGCATCTATTGCTAACATGGGGAAAATGCTATCATATTCCCTAGAATGACTGGCCACAGTAGAAGAAACACAAAATAAAATGGCTTTCCATCAGACATTACCTAGTGACCTGGTCATGTATAGGTTTCTTGCAATTTAACATGAAAGTATATACTTAGATCATATCTACTAGAACAGTAGCTTTCAAAATATCTTAAATTTATGGAAAATAACCTTTTTCACACATGACATACACATCTTTCCAAAATTATACATAAGTATCTTGAAGTGTCCTTATTTCAAGTATATGCCTACCATTTCATTAGACATCAACATGTTCTTGCACTGTCCATCCCATTCCACACTTTCCAAACACACACATGTGTACAACTGAAAACATCTACCAGGGGCTGGAGGGAGGGCTCAGTGCCTAAGAGCACTGGGCCAGAGTTCAGTTCTCAGTACTCAAGTTGGGCAACTCCAGTTCCAGGGAACCCGATGCCTCTGGCCTCCACATACAGTGACATTCACATGCACAGACATCTACACCCACATACATAGTCAAAAATGATAAACATAAAAATAGAGACCATTTTAAAACCATCTGCCAGCTGCCCATGACTGTGACGTATACATGCTACATTTGCTGGTCCACTCCCTCCGAAGACGCACTGCAGTCAGTGTTCTGACTCACACTGAACTTTTGTCTGACGTGTGACCGAGAGGGCCTTGGTAGTCAACCTTGCTTCCAGCACACTAGAGGAGTTGGATGTTACACTAAATTCTGGTTTCCTTACTATATTTCTAACAGAGCAACCATAGGTGTTTAGACCTAGCATAGAATGCACTGCCTGCCTCTTTTAAGTTATTACTACTCTGAAGTGAAATAGATGCTCTCTTTACAGATTGCCTCTCATCTTTAATAATTCCCAATAATAATCAAATGCCATATTTCACATGATAAAAGCCACCTATTAAAATAGCTGCATTAAAATATTCTAGGTTTGACAAGATGAGTTATGAGATAAAGGCACCTGCCGTCAAGCCTGATGACTTGAGTTCAATCCCTGGGGCTCACATGGTAAGAAAGAACAGGTTATCTTCTGACTCCATACTGTATGCATGTATGCACACTAACATGTGGACATACAGAGACATACAAAAACAAATAAGTGTAAAAAAAGTATCCACTTGTAGCAGATAAACAGAGACATCACTACCACTTTGGACACAAGAAAAACTTAGCGAAAGATCAGCAGTTTATTTTTATGCTCGTAAAATCAGTCTTTTGCTTGCTTCAGCAGAAACTAAAAATCAGCTGCAGATATACCATTTTGATTCTTTAGTTTTCTGGATAAAAGCCAGGTCCAATTTTATCAGTGATTCTAATTTTGGAATTTGGGTAGCTATTGGGTATCTTCTTTCATAAAACACCAGACAGAATCACATATGATACAGATAAGCGATTTACTGTTATTTGAACATATGCATATGCCAAATAATGATACAAACTTTACTTCTCATTTACTAGAGAGAAAACCTCAAAGTGATAGGCAGTGACAGTCCTCAAACAGCCCATGTCTTGAAGCTGTCTTCTGAGAACCCACAGTTGTTTTGAGAGTTACACAGTGTAATTCTAGCCACATGCAGTTTCTGTGCTGAGGACCCCAGTTACAATAGCTATGTCGCAGAGAGTCTTACATGGAAAAGCACCAGCAGCTAGTACTGTGTACTTCATGGTGATGGACTGATGGCAGGTGGGTTTTAAAAGATCTTTATTTTGATACTTATGATTTTTAAGTAAGTGTGTGTGTGTGCGCACGCGCGTGCACACATGTGCACGCACACACGCACACTCACACAAGGAAGTGTCACTGCTCAGGATGTCAGAAGTGTTAGAGTCCTTGGAGCTAGAGTGACAGGTGTTGTCAGCCAAGCAACCTGGGGGCTGAAAAATGAATCAGGGTCTTATGCAAAAGCAGCTGGTGCTCTTGATAGATAGGTGTTTATAGAGATAATCTTTTGTACTGAATGGAAGCATCACCTGTCAATAAAGGACTGGCTAATGAGCTGAGGCAAGATTAGAAGGTGGGACAGCCGATAGAGAGAGAGGAATTCTGAGAAAATAGTCAGGCACAGGAGATTCACCTCAGACACAGAAGAAGACAGTAGTATGAAACTGAGGACCAGGTAGCTAGCTATATGGCATGACTTAGAATAAAATAAATGAGTAATTAAGATAAGAGTTAGAAGGTGAACAGAACCAAACCTGTTGGCCTAAGCATTTATTCATATATAAGAAGTCTCAGTCGTTGTTATTGGGAACAAAGTGGATGGGTGGGAAAGACGAGGTCACAGATGGCTTTAATTACAGGTGTTAACTTCTCAAGAGCAGAGACAGACCCATCTAGTTACCATTGTGACAGGGTCCTCTGTATACTCAGTTGTACAATGTAGTATCCCTGGAACCAATAAGATAATCCCACTGAATGGAAACTGCAGGTGTGGCTAGAATTTCATTGTGTAATGTTTGAAACAGCTGTGAGATATCAAGAGAAAAAGTCATATCATAGGCTGTTTGGGGTCATCACTGCCTCTGCTTCAGTAAGACAATAATTTTAATTACATAGAACCAACATTTCTGCTAAATGTATTACCTAATTTCTTGATGTGCTACAAATGCACAAGAAGTCAAAAAAATTATATGTGTATCTATACTAATTTATCATTACCTAATCTTCACACATAACTTTAAAAGAAAGGTAGTAGAGTGTGTGAGAAAGGGCCTGTGAAAGTGTGGTATGAACCCCAGGAAAACTACTCTGTTTGACCTTTCCCAATCACTGACCTTCCCTAAGCTACAGTTTTTCAAATGAAGGCAATAACATCTATTTTAAAACAATACCTAGAGTTACATGAGATAAGACAGGTTAAGAGCTTGCCTTGTATCTAACTAATAAGGCCCCAACATACATATTATACTCTTCTTTGAATTATTAACATTTTCAAAAAGATTTATACATTAAAGGTTTACAAGGATCACTGAAAGAAAGCCATAACTGAGAACTGAAGTCACATACCTCGAACTGTAAGCATCTTCCTCTTTGCATGATGTAATTAGTGTTGAAAAAGGCCTAGCTTGCACTTCTTGCTGCTCTCTCTAGTTAAACAAGATAAGTCATGAATACTCAGAACAACACTGACAAGACTGAGTTTAGCCCTCCTCTGAACACTGATTATTCCAGAACTGTCCAGGTCTCTACAGTATCAGGAACACTGTGCCATAACAAATGAATGGTGATTGTTACAGTTTCTTTTGCTCCAGCCTAAGAAAATCTCTTTGAAGATAAAAGCCTACGAGTAGTAAGGCCGGCACAGCCTTCACACCCTAGAAAGCCGGTGTGAAGTTAGGGAGTGAAAGCTTTTGGTGAGGAGTCATGAAGCAACAAAACAGTAAACACAAATTGAAGATGGAAGATGCTACGTCCAGCTAGCTTTTTGGAGTAGCAAGTAGCCTTCCCCTTCCAAACCTCCCTCAGTTTTTTTATCCTGTTCTTTCTGGGGTGGAAATAAAGGCTCTCTAGGGGACTCCCCAAGCATATAGAAATGCACTTCTCATTCTACTGTGACATGCTATTCTTCTGGAAAAATGCTTTCCTTCTGCTTAGATATAAAACTGTAAATTAAAGTTAAAATATTTCCAGTAAAATATTTAATTACAAATGCAACTAGCATTTCTGTGATTATCATCGCTTAAGTGAAATGTTATATTTATATTATGTTATGCTATATTTCTTAATCCTCAACTAATAAATAATTATGGATTTATATGAAGCATCAAAATAAAATACTGATAGTGAAGAATGGCTCAACTATTAAAAGCAGCTACTCCTCTTGCAGGGGACCCATATCTGGTTGCCAGCACATGGGCTCCTCACCCACGTCAGGAAGCTCACAATCAATCACCTGTAAGTCCAGTTCCAGAGACTCCAACATCTTTACTGTCTGTGGCTCCCCTGTGTACATACTCACACGCAGATACATACACAAAATTAAAAGTAAAAATAAATCTTAAAAAATAATGAAATATTATTAGAATTTCTTCCCTGCCTCCATCAACTCCATTTTGGGGGAGCAACAGGATTAAAGAAAAAATGAGTAAAGTCAGGACAAGAAGCTCAGTTGTGCACAGGAACTACAAAGGGTAAGAAACTGCTTAGTACTGGGCCCTCAGTGCCTGCTCTCACCACTCAGCTCCCACCTTGGGCCTG